CGGGGAACTACGTGCTGCGGGCGGAACACGGCGCCCGGGCCCGGGACGCGGCGGTCTGGGCCCCCGCGCTGCGCCCGCACAGGTACCTAACTGGGGCCGACGTGGGAAACGGCGGCTCGGACCCGTTTTTGCCCAACTTGTTAAAGACGCGGTGCCCCGTTTACCTGCCTCCCCCGGCCCCAGCTCGGCGCGCCAGCGGCTCCTCCCCTTCCCGGTGCGACCTTTCCTGAAGCCCCGGAGCAAGAAGTTACACCAGCGCCTGCTACGGGAATGTTAGGGTCGCCCCGTGTCCCGGTGAGGGAGCAGCCCCGCCCGTACCCACCTGACCTCTCTTGACCTTCATCCTGTGAGGCTGAAGTTTGCGGGCGGAGACGCGCCGCAGCGCCCCGCGCCGCCCCGGCCCCCTGCGCTCCCGCAGGTCGTCAGGTGCCTGAGGCCTCCGACGCCCCGGGATGCTCACGCTCAAGCCTGGGCTCCGTCGGACCAAACAATTGAGCTTTTTAACCAGAGTGGAGCTCGGCAAGTTCTAGAGGAAGATCGTAATGCAGTTAACTTAGTTTCACCGGTTAATCTGTTTTACATTTACCTCCCGAAATAAAATTGACTTTCATATTAAATACACTGTTTATTTTTGTGTGAAAGAAAACAACAATAATTTACAGTGGCCCCAAACTAGATATCAAATATAAAGAACTAGATTTCAAATGAACGTGTCATTTCAGGTCCCAATCCTTCATCTATCTTTCCTAACTCCCTTAGTAAAATCTGACCTGAATGGAACTGAGGCTATGTATAAATGAGTAGTCACTCGGTGTGAATATTCACAAGTTTCCTACAGATTACAGTGCAGTTCCAGACCTTGCTGGGAGGTGTTGCACAATATATGGCAGACACACTTTTCTAGTAAAAGTTCTAAATTCTGAAATATACCAGGTCAAAAAGGTTCAGATAAAGGATTGTTAATTTATATTAGTAATTTCTGAAGCAATGAGGAAATTTTCCCTCATAGTATATAAGTGCTATGTTGTGAATAATGTTAAAATTTGCTTATTCTTAATAAAAAGCTACTCAAAAAACCTTCATTGAACTTTTTTCTCCTTTCTAGTGAATTTTAGCACCTCTTAAAAAGTTTATACATGTTTAATGCCTGTTGGTGGCATAGAATTTAGGGTCACTTGGCTTCACTGTCATTCTCCTAGTCTTGATATTTATTTAAAGGGAAACTATTTCTGTAAAGATTTCTGGATTCTTGGAAAAAGAAAAAACTTTGGGACAATGAAAATGAGTTGTACAGAGACTTGATTGTGCAGGAGAAAAAAAAGGTAATCTTTTAAAATATACTAATAAGCAAATGTACCAATAGTCCCCCAAAGCATATGTTTATAAATGATTTGTTTTTCTTCAAAATGCATAATATGCATTCTAACAGTAGATTCCAAATTATATTCTCTTCAGGGTAAATTTGAACTGGTCTGCATTCATCTGAATGGAGTGGGAGGTATTGTCTAGTGAGGAAGATATTTCAGGCACATAAAGGACGTTGATGATAATAATTTGTCCCGAGGTTAAAAACTGTGAGTTTTTGCTGTATAGACAATATGAAATATATGGACAGTTTAGCATACTGGCATCTTAGTTTAAATATTGGATATAAAAGTATACCTTTCAGTTTAGCCTAATTTTTTCCATGAATTATGTCAGAGAATAATATGATTTTCTTCCCCCCTCTTTATCTATGGCCTACTTTTTCAGGGCCTCTCCAGTGTGTCTTCTGCCAAATTCACATTATGAGCACATCATGCATGACTGCATTTGGAGGCAAAGGGTATTCTGTACAAACGCCAGCGGAAGTCCAAGAATCCCTGAGGTAATAATACTTGGCAGACACAGCTAAACCCTCTCTTATCAACATCAAGATTGAGCTACAAGCCAGGTGAAAAGCCCAGGTAATGTGCCTTTTTGTGATGATGGAAAAGTTGTGCTATCCAATATTATAGCCTCTAACAACCTGTCGCTCTGAGCACTTGAAATGTGACTAGTTAAAATAACAAACTGAATTTTTTGTTCTATTGTTGTTTTTTAAATTGTTTTATTAAAGTATAGTTGGCATACAATATTGTATTAGTTTCAGGTCTGCAACAGTGATTTGACATTTATATACCATATGATGTGATCGCCATGGTGTGTCTATTAAGCATCTATCACTGTGCAAAATTATTACAATTACTGACTACAGTTCCTGTGCTATACACTACATCCCAGTAGCTATAAAAATAAATATAATAAATATGATACTTATAAAATAAAAATATTTTATAACTGGAAAAAATTGATTGGGAGTCAAAATATTTTTTCTGGAGAAAACATTGAAAGTACTACAAGTGATAAGTTTTTTTTTAAGTTGCCATAAAAGATCCTTCATTTTGGGCCCTACAAGATCTTTCATTTTTAGTCTTATGTAGCTCTTTAAGTTCCACCATAAAAAGTATAAAAAAGAGGTTTACATTTTGGTCTGCAGAGCTAGCTTACTCAGAAAACATGACTCTATGAAGTAATGAGGTGTAGTATAAATAGCTCCAATCCATGGGACAGATCTTTAATCTACTTTCATTCTGATGTATAAAATGAACATATTGAAGAAATAATTATGTGATCTTTCCGTATTTTTAATGGGGGAGGGGGAACAGTAGAGGGGTGGCCATTTTACGAAGCAGCCAAAGCAAATTTAAAGTATGCTGGATGCGAAGAGGTCAACCTGCCATTGACAGGTTAGCTCCACTGCCAACAGCAGATGAACATGCAAAGGGCCTCGTTTTAGAAATAATCATTGCTTTGGTTGCCTTTGATGATATTTGTTGTATATAAAAATTGACTACCAAAATTCTAGGGAAGAGTTAACTATGATGTTTTTATATCTCAGAAAAATTCCTTACAGAACATAATATTATTAAAAAATTTAACAGCTTTATCAAAATATAATTTTCAAACAGAAAGTTCACCCATTTAAAATGTATATATCAATGGCTTTTACTATAATCATAACTTATGTATTCACCATAATCTAATTTTAGAACATTTTTATCACCCCATAACAAAAGACATTGTACCCATTAGCAATCACTTCTCACACACCTCTGACCCCACCTCCCAGTCCTATGCAACCATTAATCTATTTCAGATGAATAGGATTATACAATATGTAGTCTTTTTAAAAAATTTATCTTTATTATTGAAAGTATTACAGATGTCCTCTTTTTTCCCTGTTGACCCTGCCATCCTCCCTCCACTCCAGCCCTTCACCACACTATTGTCTGTGTCCATGGGTTATGCATATATGCATGTAAGTTCTTTGGCTAATTTCTTCCCACCCACCCCTGCCTTCCCTCTGAGATTCGTCAGTCTGTTCCATGCTTCTGTGTCCCCGGATCTATTTTGTTCACCAGTTTATTTTGTTCTTTAGATTCCACATATGAGTGACATCATGTGATACTTGTCTTTCTCTGACTGGCTTATTTCCTTACAATATGCAATCTTTTCTAAATGGCTTCTTTCATTTAGTGTAATGTTTTCAAGATTCATCCATGTTGTAGCATTTTTCAGTACTTCATTCCTTTTCATGGGTTAATCATGTCACATTGTATGGATATACCTCATTTTGTTTATCCATTCATGAGTGGGTGGGCATTTGGATTGTTTCCATATTTTGACTATATAAATAATACTGCTGATCATTTGTGTACAAGTTTTTGTATGAACATATGTTTTCAGTTATGTTGGGTATATACCTATGAGTGGGATTGTTGGGTCATATGGTAATTCTATGTTTAACATTTTTAGAAACTGCCAAAGAGCTCCTCAAAGTGGCTGCAGCATATTGCATTCCCACCAGCAACATATAAGAGTTCCAATTTCTCCTCACCCTAATAGCAATAACAATATAACAATAACAATGTTATTATCGTCCATCATTTTTATTATAGTCATCGTAATAAATGTGAAATGTTATCTCATTGTGGTCTTAATTTGAATTTCTGTGAAGACTAATAATATCTTCTTTGGAGAAATGTTTGTTCAGATTCTTTACTCATTTTTAATTGGGTTATTTGTCTTTTTGTTGAGTTGTAAAAGTTCTTTATGTATTCTGGATACATATCCCTTTCAGATATATAATTTGCAAGTATTTTCCCCCTTCTGTGGGTTGTC